CTGCGCGGTCTGACGATATATTGCCACGTTTGTACGGATTTTGAATGATCTCAATGCGTTGAAAAGGATTCCTTTGTTATCAGAATACGTGAGAGGTTAAATTAATCGAGGAATAACGGGTATAAACAGAATTTAAACAATTCAGCCAAAGAGCAGGGCCGAGTAGAGATCGCTACTCGATCGCTATCGTTCCTCTCCGGAAGTGACCGTTTAAGTGCGTAATGTTCTTATCTTTCGGGTTCCCGCGTGAAACAACCGAAATCATCATCAGCCGGCATCGTTAACGCGAAATCGCCCTCGACGACAATGGCGCCGCGTCAGGGGAAATGATATTTCTCGGGTGTTATCCTTCCGGAAAAGTGTCGCGCCGCGGGATTAGCGCGGACGCAGAATGGAGCGCGGCGAAGGAAGGAACAATGCGCGGTTACAAAACTTGCTATAATTTCGTGGGAATGCGCGAGTCGCCTTAAGAAACGTCGATTGTTGCCCTCGGCAGCTACGCGGTTGCCTCACGGTTGCTCGGCCGGGCCGAGGGGAAAAGAGAGCGCGGCACCTACGAGCCCGTAAAAAGAAAGAGAGACGGAGATGCTCCTCGAGGCGGCGGTCCACATCCGCTCTGCGAAATCTGATGGCATCGGTCGCGGCTAAGAAACGGACGAAGCTCGCACTCGATAGCCTGCGATTTGCGAAGCGCTAGCGAAAGAAGCCGCGCGAAGACGCGCCGGTAATTGGTGGTGAAACGGGCTAAGAGACCCGGTTTCCGAGCGGCTAAAGCCAATTAAGAATTGCCTATTGTCGCGGTGAAAATCGCCGGTGTCGCCGGAAAGAGCGAGGAGAAATTAGCCGAGACCGGGAGCCGCTTTTCCGTGATCGTCGCGCGCGCGCACGCGCACGCTTCTATCGCTCTCGGAGCCGCTTTTCTCCTCTCGCTGACCATTGTGCTTATTAGGCCGGCAGAATGGCCGAGAAGACGAGGAGTGATTTTAACTGACCGTCACTTTGCAGTGGACATTTTCACTTACCACTTTCTTAAATCGAGTCGAACACTCGGCCCTGCTCGACGAACGCCAGGCTGGGTACTCGATTGTTCCAACGAGATGAAGTACTCTCAGGATCCAGAAAATTGTGCCCTCTTGATGCTAATCGGTATTGATACTTACCGCGTGAATTCTTTTCGTTGGGATGAACGACGTTGCATAAAATGGCGTCTCCATCTTTGAACGGTCTTTATGTTACCTGTGCACGAAATGAAAAATAATCAACTCTTCGGATCAATTTTACCTGTCGCGCTCATCTGTGAATAAAATCCTGCAAAAATACAATAGCGAGAGTTCCCGGGACAATAATTGCGGCAATTCCATTACCACGCCGCAAAACGATGTCTCTATCGGATCTGCAAGCGAGACTTTTTCCCACGGGTGGAGATCTCTTTTCCACGCACAATGGTTTCCCTGGGCTCGCGATACGCCGAGTCGCGCGACCACTCTTGCCTTGCCGGCACCTCGCAAGCTTCTCGACGCGCCGTTGGTCGGTTGCGAAATGAGCGGGAAGTTCGAAATAAATCGGCGCTCATTAGAGGCGAAGATTTCCCGGGAGATAGGGACAATGCCGGCGATCGAACGCAATTTTCCTCGCGACCGCAGCTGTTGGTATGACGCTGGAATATCGCTTCTTTACTGGGAAAAGAAGGACGCGACTTTTGTGGAAACGCTTCTTTTCGTCACCTCGACGGGACGTCGCGGCGGCCGAGCGCGTCGTCCCCCTGTGCGGGAATTATGACTTGCTTAATGAATGCGCGAAATTATCGGGCTCTATCGCTAATTGCCGGAATTCGTTACGAAAAAAAACTCGTTCGATCGCGATAACTCGCGGTTTTGTCGTTAGAACCCAAGAGACCGTGGCGACGACGGCGACGGGAGGCTTCGAAAGGGCGCGTCGACGAACGCGCATTGCACGCACAGGCGGGCGCGAGAGTGACCTCGTTTCTTTTATCGCCGGGACTTTGTTCGCGTATTTGGCTATGATAATGCAAGATATGACGATGTCGCGCGTGGCCCAAACTGGTTGGACTATACTTTTAAGCTCGAGGTCGGTCCCCTCGGTTCGCAGTTCCGGTGAGCTTTCAGAACTCCCGGCAGGTCGTCAGGAATCCCCAAGACTCTTGTGCCCGGTGTATTCACCTTTGACCGTTTATCTTTTAGATAAGTTTTTTTTTTGAATTTATTCCGAGGCGTGGGCAGGGAGCATTGGCCTCTCATCGATCTTCTTGGTTTAGGAAATACGTGGGTTTGAGTGTCATGGCAATCGGTACCTAGATGGGTGATCCACAAAATTATTTCAGATTCCCTTGGAAAGCGAGTAGAGCTAAGAATTGACTAATGATAAATTCGATACGTGTGGAGTATTGAGGATACCATCGTTGTTCCATATTTTATTTTAAATAAAAATCTTTCTGCTGTTAGCGTCGCAAAGATAAAATTCTATAACGAGGTTGCTAGATTTTGGGATTTATCTCTGCAAACGTTTATCCCAGACTTATCCAGAGGTGAAGAAAGCGGTCATTAGCCTCGCGTTTATATTGGGTTTGAGCGGTCTTCCAGATTAAACACCGTCCATCGTGGTCGATATTTAACCGAATCTAATCTATAATAAATTAGAACCGTACAACGCAATTTAAAGTGTATTTCAACATCGTAAATGATGCAAAGCGTTCTATTCCTGTTCTACTGAAACAAAATCAGTGAAATGAAACGTTCGATAAATGAAGATAATGTAAATTTGTACATGACCTCGCCAATTAAATCCAAACAGAGTCGTCAAAAACATCCGTGTAAGTTGTTTTGCTTCCGATCCGAAAAGGGGGATGAGTCTCATTTCTCGGTCGTCATTCCGGCGTGTAATTTCATAGGACGGATTTCTCAGGTCGCCGGATCGCCTTGAATCGGGAATTGCAAATCGCAAGTTACAAAAAATCGCCACCAAGCAGCCGTTGCGATTCGCCGGTTACCGAGCGGGTCTATAGCGTAAGTTGACGTCCCCTGGCACGATTTCAAACCTCGCGACAATACGTGCATATACGTACGGAATGTATGCTTATGTGCTCAAGCGAGCGCACTTATGTTCGATTCGTACCTCGGATGTAAATTCGCAAGGCACGAGTTCTCCACCTCCGTCTCTGATCCACCTCCTCCAACCTACGCATTCCCAACCACACGCCCATCGATTCCTTTAAACCTATGATATCGTGTTCCTTCGACTTAACAAAGGAATAAGTCCAATCAAAAGACGGACAAAGGAGTACGTGCCATTGGCACAGAAATCCAAGCCGCATAAATATACGCCATTCAATTCGGGTACATACCAGTACATCTTGTCTAAAATGAAAATAAACGAAATAGAAAGAGATAAAAAAGATACCTAAGTGCTGAGAAAACGAAAGAGATAAGTGAAGAAACTCAGAAATTCGTATGAGCCTTAGTACCTTAAGTTACCTCATTTCAATTCTGAAACGTACAGTCATCTCATTTTTTTCTTAATAATTATAAAAATATAGGATATAGTCTATAGTCACCCATCGCTTCCATTCGGGACAGGTTTCGATGTTTTTCCATACGTTCATGGGACATCTCCTCGACATGGAACGAAATTCTGGGAAGTTCTCTCGTGGAAAGATCGAAGTCCTCAAACGTAGGTCGAAACTCGAAGCTCGAAGCCCTCGACTTCTCGATTGCACTCGTCCAGCAATCAAAGACGCGATCGATGGCTGATTCATCTGAATCTTGCGGCTGATTGGTCAATTAGAGGGGAAACACGTAGGAGGACACTCTTGCGGGGGAGAGACCGCAAGGGTCGTGGCTCTGGAAGAGGATATTTTAATTATCGTCGGTACACTTCAACTCGGGCTTCCCCATCGCCATTGATTTTGCCTTGTATTAATTGCTTCCCGGTTCGATCGTCGACATGAAGGCGGACGAGCGCGCGACTTTCTGCATGACTTCGTGATCTCTCCTCGTGGAAATCCAGGGAAATTATGCTAGGGGATTCCTCGTGGGGACGAGACTCGTACCAGGAGGTCTTCGGAGCTTCCTCGATGGTACCATCGCGGTTCGAGCTGCTTGATTGAACTGATATTCCTCCGAATAATTGTCTGAATAATCAACTCGATCGGGGGAGTATGGGAATAATCGTTCGAATGATATCGGTTAACCGATTATATGAGTCGTTAGGCGATTAATCGGTGAATCGAAGACTTGCTCGAAAGAGGACAATTAAAGCGGCAGAACGGAGTATTACCGAGTCGGGTCACCTGCACTTACAAATATTGCGACCATGATATAATCACTGCGTTAGCAGGGCAACGAGATATCTTTAGACGCAGAATTCGTGAACTAGACGCAGGAAAGTATTATTGCACCGACAACTCGGGAGGAAAATTGTGCTCTTCGTCAATTCCAAAGATATCCTTTAGGCTTTAAAAAACGTTCAATGTGGATTGTTCGACTTTTTAATTATACTTACGATATAATCTTCCGTGTATGTTGGATAAGATTTCATGTTAGACGTAAGCGTACAAATTCGGCAGAGATGTCGATTCAAGACCAAGTAAGAGCACACCACAAGTTGTGTCTCACCTGTAGAGTATGTTTCAGGCAAGGAGCAGGGTATGCCGACGTTCACCAGGGGCCCTCAGGACGGTGGCCCACCCGACATGAGCGACGAGAGGCTGGCCCATATCCTCTCGGAATCGGGACACCTGCAAATGCGACCCGAGCACGACGCGTCCAACGACGCGGACAGCAAGAGTCCCAGCAGGGTCGGCTGTCCCAGTCCCTTCGGCAAGGATCGGCTCGACAGCCAAAACAGGAGACTGAAAAAGTACGAGAACGACGACATTCCCCAGGAGAAAGTTGTAAGGATTTACCAGGAGGAGCTTGCCAAGCTCATGGGTAGGAGGGTCGACGACCTTCGAGGACCTCGCGAATTCCCGCCAAGGTGAGGATCGCGTATTCAATATGTTACGGTTCGTTTTCTTGTTCTTTCTTGAAGTGCAGTACTTTTCGGTTTATTTGAAAAAAAGAAAAAGTAGGAAGTAAAGTACTTGCTGCATTTATATTATCTCCATTAACCATTCGTTCTGTGAAAGAATTCGTATGTAACGACTCGTACGATGCAGTAAGTCAATAACTGCATATCGTAGAGTGCACAATTGTGAACAATAACGACTTGGAAATGGAAAGCCAGCTGCGAGTCGGTTACCCATGCGTGGTTCCGTTTAAAAGGGACCATTATTTTCGTACGATGATTCAAAAATGAGTTATATCATTAAACTCCGAGGTTCGAAATCCACCGGTGGAGTTACGCATGGTGTTCTCCATCGAAATTCCACGGATTCTTTGTTACTTTGGAAGCGTGGTGCCGCGTCACAATTTCCGTGCGTCGGTCGCGTGATCAGGGACGACGTCCCACGGACACGCGGAATGTCGAGTAAAAGCAGCAGTTGGCATGTTCAATATTTAAATCGAACCTCCCTGTTCGAGTCTCGCTTCGCGATGGTATACACGTCTAGCCCGCGTTGTTTTTCAGGGTCGAATACGATGCCATTACCGTTCGATTTTAAGATTTCGATTGATAATTATTGAGGACAGCACGTAACCTCGATTGATCGTAGCGCGATGTTTCCTCCCTTTTTCAGTGGTGGTATCCAGGGCATCCAGGAGCGAACCCAGGAGGAAATCCGACTGGCACTGGATGCGTACCATCGCGAGCTGCAAAAATTAAACGGGGGTCCGGGTCAGAATCCTGCCTTGGCAGGACTTCCGGGACTCCATGGTCTTCCGAGTCTCTTGGCGCTGCAGCAGCAGGCGCTTCAACAGCATCACTTGGCAGCCAACGGCGGCGGGGTCCAAGACCTGAGTCTGGGCAAGGTGGATCCCCGTGGAAAAATGATGAACGGCGTTTCCGAGGAGGAGAAGGAGAAAATGGAGGAAGCCATGAGGCACGCGGGTAGCGCCTTTTCGTTGGTACGGCCTAAGCAGGAGCCCAGTGGGCCCCAATCGACCCCTGGTGGGTCCAGCGCCAGCTCGCCTCTGGGCAACTCCATCCTTCCACCTGCGATGACCCCCAACGAGGAATTCTCGGGCGCCGCTGCGGCCAGTCCGCTCCAGAGGATGGCCTCCATTACCAACAGCCTGATCAGTCAACCGTCCACTCCGACTCACCACTCGGCCAATCAGAGACCTCTGAAGGCGGTGCTACCGCCCATTACCCAGCAGCAGTTCGACCTATACAACAACCTCAACACCGAGGACATTGTCAAGAGGGTAAAGCAATTGGTGAAACGATTGTCCTGAACGAGGGAAATAATCAGGGCTCTTCAACGATACGATTCTGGATGATAAATTGTTGCTTGTTCTGCAGTGTCTCGCTCTTCAATTGTGATAATGTATCAAGTTAAGAGCTGCTTACTCACGGGAATGAGTTCCGTTTCTTTTCTTTACAATTTTATTGTTACGAATAGCACTCGATTATTGTTTGTACTTCACAAGGTCAGTAATTTTTAAAAGTGAGATTTAAACTTTGGTTTCAATAGTCAATTCAAATCGAGTGGAGTAGTTGAGTCATTTATGATGCTTGAGTAGTTAGATGTGCTGTGGTATTCGGGATAATGCCCAGATTCGTATGGTTACATCAGGATTATCGTTAAACCCCTAAATGTTTCTCTCCATATTTTACAAAAAGGTCACTTGTTTTACGTGTTTCGTGAAGCTAACTAATGACCAATCGTGGTTGCAGGTGAAGGAACAGCTTTCGCAGTACTCGATCTCTCAGCGCCTCTTCGGCGAGTCCGTTTTGGGCTTATCGCAGGGCTCGGTCTCGGACCTCCTGGCTCGGCCTAAGCCCTGGCACATGCTGACGCAGAAGGGCAGAGAGCCCTTTATCAGAATGAAGATGTTCTTGGAGGACGATGGCGCCGTTCACAAGTTGGTAGCAAGTCAGTACAAGATTGCGCCGGAGAAGCTGATGAGGACCGGCGGCTACGGCGGCCTGCCTCGTAAGTTTAACTCAGGTCAATATAGATGTTTTGTTACTTTACTATATTATGTAGTTTAGGAGCTCTAGCGTTCATGCCGTCCGATGGTCTTATGGAAAAGCGGCGTGATCTTTTCCATATGTAGCCTAGCTTACTCTTCTCCTATTCTGGAAACATTGCTAATTCTAGTTTGAGAAAGAAATGGAATTCTTCCGCCATACACGGACGCAATAGTTGTTAACGAGCTCCAGGACTGCAAGACGATAAGCTATTAAAGAGCAGTTAGTAATTTTTCTTATCGTAACAGCATGCGGAACACCGATGAAGCCCATGCCGCCAACGAAGCTGGTTCAGGAGCAACTCCAAAATGCAGCTAAGGCTCAGGCTGCAGCTCAGGCTGCTGCTCAGGCAGCGGCTCAGCACCAACAAGAGAGTCAGATGCAGCTAGGTCCGCCTCAACCGAGTCCTCAGCATCCGCAGCATCCGCAACCACCACCCCCTATGATGTTGACACCTCCTGGACCGCATCATCCGCATACCCAAATGAGTATGCAAGAATTGCAAAAGAAACAGCAACAGCAGCAGCAACAACAAATGACTCTGCACTCGCCACATCACCAAATGACTCCGTCGCCCCTTCGTAACCTCCATTCTCACATTTCCCCAAGTGTTTACGAGATGGCTGCATTGACTCAGGAACTCGACACGCAAACTATCACGACAAAAATTAAAGAGGCTCTGTTGGCCAATAACATTGGCCAAAAAATTTTTGGGGAGGCCGTGCTGGGACTTTCCCAGGGTTCGGTCAGCGAACTCCTGAGTAAACCCAAGCCCTGGCACATGCTCAGCATCAAGGGTAGGGAGCCGTTCATCAGGATGCAACTGTGGCTGTCCGATGCTCATAACGTCGACAGGCTTCAGGCCATAAAAAACGAAAGAAGGGAGGCCAATAAGAGGCGGCGGACCAGTGGTCCAGGTCATGACAACAGTTCGGATACTTCTAGCAACGATACTGCCGAGTTCTACCACGCGGCATCTCCCGGTCCTGGCCCGACTTCTGCCAAGAAACAGAGAGTACTGTTCTCCGAAGAGCAGAAGGAAGCTTTAAGGTTGGCATTCGCACTGGATCCCTACCCGAATGTCGCTACCATAGAATTTCTGGCTGGCGAGTTGGCCCTTTCTTCCAGGACGATAACCAACTGGTTTCACAACCACAGAATGAGGTTGAAACAGCAAACCCCCCATGGTCAGCCAGAACCCCAGTCGCCAAGAGAGCCCGGTCAACCGTTTGACCCGGTTCAGTTTAGGCTGCTGTTGAACCAAAGACTGCTTGAGATCCAAAAGGAGCGGCTGTGCCTAGGCAACGTCCCTCCTATACCTTATTCTCACTACTTCAACCCGAACCTCGCAGCCCTAGTTGGTAATGTTCTGAAGGAACAGTGTTCGGGTCTTGATCTTTCCATGGGTTCTCTGAAAAGAGAACCGAACCAGGAGTTCGAGGACGAAGATGTCGAAGATGCGATGAGCAACCTTGGCAGCGAAGATTCAGAGGGGTCTGCAGGTAGCATTAAAAGAGAACCGACTGAAACTCCCACGGTACCTGCGGCGGCCAGGTCTAATCGAAGAAAACCTGCTGCCCCGCAGTGGGTCAACCCAGAATGGCAGGAGCCTGCAAGGGCAGGTGACGAGGTCATCATCAATGGCGTTTGCGTTATGCAGACCGACGACTACGGGGTCAAGCGGGAGACCGAAGAGACGATTCGCGTAGAACCTACCCCTGTCCAGGATAGATACGAAGAGGACGCTCAAAGCGACGTATCTTCGGTATCGGGAAACAATGGTCAAGATAGGGATAGTCCTCTGCCGAGTCCCAAGTCCGGACAGAACAGCCCAGTGACGTCTCCTAGACCGCCCTCGGCACCACAGACTCAACCGTCAACGGAAGGCAGTCCAAAAACCATTGTCAAACACGAACCAGAAGAGACGTGGGATTATTAGACACGATCTGCCGTGGGACGTATTGCCCTTTAAATACCTCCAACGGTTCCCATCCGATCAGCAATTCTGGGTAATCCCAAGATGAGAGCCATCTTGTCTTCGTTACGGAAGACCGAGGCTACGGATTCCTTCTGGACCGAGTCAGCGGACGAATCGACTGATCCCCACGCGCGACCAGCATTACCTCTATGATCCGGGAACAAGAGAATCGAAGTGTTCGGAAACGATTAACGACCTGGGGAATGAAACGAGTCCTATCATTCTCGGCATTCCGAATTCAAGGGTTGGAGGTCAAGGAGGAGTAAATTGCTGTAGGTCAAGGAGCAAAATCAAAAATCTCTTCGCAACGACCAGTGACCGTCGGGAGCGCTCTTCCGGTGTTTCAGATGTGACGTCATTGTTCGCGTTAGCTACGGATGGACCCCAATGAAGACGCGTTGATCGTCGCAACGTACCCCGTAGCGGTTCTCAATCGGATCCCGCGGCTCCTTTTCTTTCACAACAGGACTTTCTTTTAGAAAGATATCTAATGGAAATGAGAGCCCCGGGTTCAACCACAGTGCAATCTACCGGGAGGAAAAATACCAATCGTTCGGAAAACGGATCGCCTAGAAATTTGTAAGATAAAAAATTATCCCCAAAAGTGCGAGAAAGAATGTATGCGTGCATTTGAGAAAGACACTGATACCGAGTGAAAGAGAGAGAAAGAGACGGAGAGAGTGGGCGAGCGAGGGTGTAAGGGGGAAGATGGGAATTCGAGAAAATGAAAATGAGCGAGTGAAAAAGAGAAATAGATACGCGAATAATTGCATAATTGTGATTCATGTTATCGTTTATATCGATCGTCTCGATCCACAGAAACTCTCCCCTTAGCCGTTAAGCTGTTGACGTTATAAATATATTTCATCGGAGTTACGAATCGTTTTCTCTCCTTTCACGTTCATTTCCCCGAATATTATTTGCTCTATTTTCATTCTGCTCCCTTTTTGTATCCCACGATTGTATATATACATATGTACATGCATATACGGTACATTTACCTCTTATGTCCCCGATATTTATGAAAGTCATGAGAGAATATCTGTTGAAAGAAAATACTTAAAAATACCGTTACCAATGTTATCATTATCGTCATCACTTTCATCGTGATCACCATCGCCGTCATCGTTATCATTATGACTATTATTAATATTATCACTGCGGTTATTATTATTCTTACCATTATCGCACTTATTATTAGTTGTCATTGTCGCCGTCGCCGAAACGATGTTAGCGATCGCGAAAAAGAGCGTAGCCAAAAAGAAAAGTAATGATGCCTTCTGGGCGGGATTTTACATGGATCTTTTCTATGTCGCTAGAAGAAGAGAAAATCGGTAGTTTTAACGAACGATTACGTTGTATTTATCGCAGTAATTGCTTACGAGGATTCTTATTACTGCTATTATTATCTTTGTCATTATTATTGCGTTATCCACATTGCGTTACGTTATTATAACGAAAATGAAAAACGGCTTGTGAAGCCAATGTGATAGAGCTTACGTGCGACAGAAATATGTGCGGGGTTCTCAACCTCGGTAGATGCGCGATAGTGAAGCGGTATAAAGCGCGAATTCTTAACTCACGCATGTATATAGATGTACAAAGTATCTCGAACACGTTTTAAACACTTACGAAGAAACGCAGACACTCGCACGCCGTACCCAACGTGTATAGTACTGTTTACTTACGACACTTAATTCTCTACAAAGTGTATCCGCAGTTCTACGTATGTAAATGGGGTGCGTCATGTGAATGAGAAATGAAGTGAGTGAATGCGATTATGGAGGAAAAAGGATTAGTTTATGAATTTAGTGAATTTTCGACTACCACGAACGTGGACGAAATTGCAAGGATTGCCCGTCACTTTAGAGCAATGCCTAAAAATGTGAAATAAAAAGAGGGGCTTTGAGGAAACTGAAAATATTGCGAATCAATGAGTAGCTGCGGGAAACCGAGGGAGTGCAAGGATTGAGTAACACGTATGAAAGACGGAAAGAAAGGGCGAGAATATGCATGAGAAACACGGAGCGAGAGAAAGAGACAAAATCCTCGATATTACGAATCAAACTAGTATTTACCAGATTAAGCCACGTTTAATCTCCGATTAAATTCTAGTCCGCAATTTAAAATAAAGACGACAAAAACGAGCACCGAGCTATGCGGCGAAGCGAAGTACTGAAAAGGGCATTGCAAATGAAAGACCAGTGATCGACATTTCTTTTCTTTCCTCGTTTTTAGATTTCTTACCGAGTTTTAAGGGTAGCGTTAAATGCGATGGATGACGATTGTATATATAAAGGACGTCTCGTTAATTTAGGGAAGTCTAACTTGCCTAGCGAGTTCAGCAGGATCCAGAGCAATCGTGGCGAGTGGCGAGTTACGCCGATATTTAGATCGATATTTATGGATCGTTATCATGGTTCCCATACAACGTGGAATATTGCAGAATGTTACGGCAATTTTTGAACAACATTTCAATGTATAGAAACGTTGCGATAATATTGTACAAGATTCTTTCGTATGTGGATGCAACGCAATCGTTGTAATGAGTCTACCAGAAGCTTCTAATTGGTTCTTTGTTTTATTGGCCGGTGGTGTGGTCTCTTATATCGAAGGATAGTAATCGTAAGCGCACGGTATATTTATTACGACGACGGCGAACTGTGAATTCCCTATCGGCGACTCGCTAATCGCGGGAATCCCGGCCGTCGAGACGTTCGAACTAACGGCGAAGCATTTTATCGTACGACGGTGGTAACAAGACAAACGATCTCAAAACACTAATATCAAACTAAATTATTTCAATTCATCGTAGCCTCTTGCAATCGTGGACTTTTCGACGGCCGATCAACGCCGATATCTGCCTACAAATGCTACCGACTTGCGACTGCCTCTGATTAAACGCGCGCAGGCGGCCAGTGATGTGATCGCTTCGAAATTTTTAACTTAAATAAATCTGCGATTTCGCCTCCATCTTTTTTCGTTCGGTTACAATGTCTTGGAATTCGTAGGGAAAGCAAATAAGAACATTGAAAATTAATTAGAAACTCACATCACTGGTAATGAGGTAGCGGCTGAGCGCGGAGCACAAAAGAGTCGTTTGAAAATTTCCAATTTCCGTTAGAATTTGCCACTCGATTGGCGTTAGGTTTTTCTTTTTCTCTCTTGAACGTTGAAATGGATTTCGATGAAAAACAATGTTTCTATCTCCAGTTTTAGCTAAACCGTTTAAATATATATTGAGAAATGCGGCAGAGACGGATGGCGGCCTACGATTTTTTTCCGTTTCATCACTGATTCAGCATAAACAGGTCATTGTAGATACTGAATAGAGCATGGATAGACGATAGCTTTAATTATTTAAACGGTACAGCTTTTAATCAAGAAATAACGGACGACGTAGAATAAGGAGGGTAACTCGAGGAAAAAAGATATTCGAAAACCGTAATTTACACCGAGAACGAACGCGAGCGGAACGGGATCCAGTTATCGATAGCAGAAGGAGAGAAATCATATCGTAAACCTAATAATGAATATTTTACAAACTAAAGTGTAGATAGACGACATTCAGAAATTATCAGAAACCCCCAATACCCATCACCCTCATTACCGAAGTCACGGAAGGTCTATGCGTGACAAGCCGAGAGAACGTAAGAAATATACGCAGATATACGATCAAAAAACGAAGGACTCTGTCATCCAGTAGTGAAAATAATGTATTTAAAGATGGAAACACATTAAGGTGGAAATACCTAAAAGTAATAGTCTATTGATTTGTATTTCATTTCGGACTGTATTATAGCTTAAAGAGGTATCCCTGTACATTGCATAAACACACGAGCACTATTGTTTTAAATTGTACGTTTATGATTATTATACGAAGATAAAGGAGAAATAAATAAGGTATACAAAATATTGAAAATATATGAGAGATTTNAACCTTATGATCTAATGCGACTTTAACTCTAGTTATTATTGATAATAAAAATATTAATGGCCATGCGAGACATCGAGCACGCCGCCTTTGTCCTTTTACTCCTTTTGCGAGTACACAAAGACATTTACATGACTTCTGGGACAATTATCCAGAAAGTACTAAACCACGGAGAATTCAAGAGTAGGAACTTTACAATTTGTACGGACAAAGGAGGTAAATTATATTCTAATTGTCGTTAAATTATCGACAGAGTGTCAATTAAGTTTTCGACAGATTATTCAATGATTGCCAAATATGCCAAGAACGTTTTCTCTCAATGTTATTTAGTTGAAATCTTACAACCTACAAATACATAATTTTATAATCTCATAAATCCGGTATTACAACTATAAGGAAGTAAAGTGGAGAATTTCATTTTTGGTTTAGAAAGCGTATCGTTAAATTTAAAAATAAGGTATAACCTTAGAACCTGGATAAATTGAAAAGTAGAACTGAAGTTTTTTTTTAACAAAATTAATCAAGCTCGTTATTAAAGAATGTACATTGTCTCCTTTTAGTGTGGTTTTAATGGTTTTTTGCCACATATAAATGAATAGTTTTCATTAAACGTGTATATGTTTTCGTACAACGTTTGATTGTGCATAGTTAATGTTATGGCTGGATCTGCGATACTTCGAATTAGTTATTTCCAAATTGCAACTCCTCGAGTCATTAAATATCTGAGTTTATAGTTAAGCCAAATTGATTATTGCGTCTCGATTATACAAGAATGCAAAAGTATCTGTCCTTGAATAACCACGAGCAGGCTTTATTGCAAAACATCGCTCGATGTCTCGAATCTTGTAAAATACCGATATACATACGTCGTTCGTCTTAATTTTTTAGGTAAATTTTCGAATTCTTGACAGCTTGCGTCTTATGAGGGAAAAAGTATTCAAGTATACGGAGCCCTAACACGAGAAGAGCGACAAATTCTCTTCCTTGTATATATATAATGTAACTGTATTATTCATATCACTGTCTTCTCTGAAGAATTTCTAAATTAAAGAGCCTGTATTAAAAATGACGCGAACGTTATATGATACCTTTCCTAAATCTTCCCAGTAACGCATTTACTTGACATTTTTAACCTGATTACTGAGATTAAATTGGGGTAGTACTAACGTTTCTTATAATTTATTACAGCTGATTCGTTCGACCCGTACATTAATGAAATTCCACTAAGGTAGAATCCCCCTTTATTTAGAATTTACAAGGATTCCGGAAAACCAGAATCGTTCATGAAGATGCGTAAATCTCCTTATATCGAATAGTTACAAGATAGTAATAGAAAAGGTAATGGATACAGATTGTAAATATTACTGGCATATATTGGCAAATGATCAATGGTAAATTTTGAAAGATAATTTTCAAGGATATTCCTGTAGAAGTGTGTATACAGCAGACTGGAAATTATTAAAGTTTAACAATGTGCCACGTAAGTAAAACACTGTAATTAAAAATCAAGCTTTAAACTTCTGACGGATATTATCCACCGTACCATCAGTCAACGTAAATTAACACTGTGACACAGAACATATATTATCGATTGTTGATCAACATAATATGACGACAAATAATAGCGGCTAAGGTACAACTTTATTGATTGCTGTATTACTACCTGATGACATTCTTATTGTCAATCAGTTATCGACAGGGTCGATTGTGAGAAGAGCTGAGAAGAATTGATAACAACAAAATGCAAGATTTCTAAAAAGAATCCTCAGTAAACTGGGGTATCTTGACAATTTCAAATCCCAAGTATTACCCTGCTTGTTCAAGGTAATCAATTTTTGTTCAATTTCAATTTTATCCACTGAGTAGTGTACACTGCCATTCTTCGATGGTTACCAGAGATGAGTTGGGAGATTGCTCACGAGCAGGATCGTTCGATCGCCTTCTGTGCTGCCCTCTGGTTTCGTACGTTAGCTTTCACTGTTTTTTGCCCCCAAGGGCG